GTGTGGTTTGGGCTTTGCTTCTGTGAAGACTGACAGCCTTGGAGACCCTGTGAGCAGTTCCACTCTGTCCTCTAGGGGCGCTGTGGGTCAGAATCAACTCCATGGCAGTGAGTTGGTTTGGGGTGTGTGGGTGTACTGCGGTTTATACCTGCACACATGCACACACACGCACACGCTCCCAAGAAGTGCTGTCTTAGGAGTCCCACTGAGGCAGCTGGTGTGGGCATCTGTGCATCTGCCTGAACCCTGGGTTGCTGCCCTCATCTTTGAGAAATCACAGGACATGCCAGGGGAAGAAGAGCTTCCCCGGCCGGCCGTCTGCCTGTCCATTTTCTCTCTTTACAGCTGTGCTGTCCTCTGGTACAAAGCCTGTGGCCAGAGCCAGGGCCAGGGTGGTCTGGGCGCCTGGAGGCCCCCTCCCCAAGAGCACTCTCTGCCCAGGGCCCCCTCTTCTCCTAGCTCTGCACTCTAGCTTCTGGCCCATGCTGGTTCTTACCCAGGGATGTAGTGAGGCTCCGGAGTGAAGAGGTCATGTTTCTGTGTCCCTGTCATTTTGCCTCTGTACTGCCCTTTCCAGCTCCAGGCTCTAGCCCTGTGCATCCGGCCCCTTCCCCAGGGAGGAGCCCGTTGCCAGGCAACCATTGTGAAGGGACCCAGCACTATGGGGCACCACTTGAGCCAGGCCACCACGTGGTCACCCCGGGAGGGCTCCCTTCCACCAATGGGCAGAGGCCTTGCAAAGGACAGCACCTGTCCTTTGCGGGTGAGCCTGGGAGGGAGCCCCCATCTCACCTTGCCTCAGCTCAGAAACATGTACCGTACCACAAGGAGGTCCACGGAAGGGTGAACAGGCTTCACTTGGACTCTCGACACCCCCAGGAGGCCAGCAGTCCTCTGAAAAGCAACCCATGCCCCAGGATGAGGCTCAGGGTGTCCCCTCCCGCAGCGCCACCCTGCAACCGCAAGGCAATGGTCACAGCCTCGGTGGTGGATCTGGGTTTCTGAGCCCACACAGCTGTCTCCCGCCAGGCTCATCCTGGGCTTTCGTATAAGCCAGATGCCGTGGAGTTGACTCCAACTCACAGAGGACCACTCCACAGGGCCGTCAAGGCCGTAACAGCAGACTGCCAGGCAAATCCCTATGTGAAGAAAGCCACGCTCCCCTCTCTGTGGATTTGAACCTCCAACCTTCAGCTAAGTGCTTAACGCTTGCACTCCCTGGGGACTTGAGTTTGTTCAGGAAGGCCTACTAACCATACAAAGGGTTGTAAAGGAAAAGATGAGTACGACAACCCCAGACTTGGAAAGGAAGCTTGTGACAAGGGGAACAGGCAGGGTGCCAGGATGCAAAGCTCTTACAGAACCAAAAACGTGCAAAGTGACAGCCACTGGAAAAGTGCATAGTATCTTAGTGAAAAACTGGACAGAAAGCTGAACCTCCGTCGCCAAACGAGGGCTCAGGAAATGGTGGGCGTGGCAGATCTGAACATTCGCTGGCGGCCGGCCGGCACCTCGCTGGTGGCCAGTGGCCACCGAAAGCCCAACCTGTAATTTTCGAGTTGATTTCTGGAAAGCAGGCTGGCAATGTAGGTGCAGCAGTCACACACTGGCCCATGACCCAGGATTCCGTCCTAAAGTAACTGGATAGTCAGCTAAAGATAGACAGCAATGCCGGTCACCACAGCAACGTTTATTAATGAGAAAAACCAGAGCTGGCCTGCTGTCCGATGACAGGTCGCCATAGCTAAGGGCACGGCAGAGCCGTTTGCAGCCACTTCACTGGGATCTCAGAGGTGCCCCAGCTGAACTTTCCCCAAACTCACCTCCATCTGACAGTCTGGAGGTCTCAGAGTACCAGCAAGCCCAAGCTAGATGGGAGGGCCCTAGTCACAGCCAGGGCTGTTGAGGAGGTTCTGTGGGTTTAGACAGTCCCTGCTGGGCCTGGGTGGACCTGGGCCAAGGTCAGGGCTGGGGCTGGCAGGTTGCACCACTACAGACTGGGGGTCCACAGGGGCTCTGGCTCCCCCGGCTCCTGACTCCATTGTGGCCCAGCCTGGGTCACCAACTGTGCCCCACAGCCCATGTCCCCAGGCTTTAGACAGGCCTTCACACCTCAGCCCTGCCTCGAGTGGCCCCGGGGTCAGCACTGCCCAATCAGACCTACTGCAGTTGCCTGGCTTTCCCTATGACTGGGTTACGGCCAAAGCTGTACCTCTTCCTCCAGGGAGGCTTCCTGTATCACCCAGCTGAACATCCCCCAGGATTCAGCAGACACTCCAGGACCCCTCTCCCTTCTCCACCCTTTGTCAGTGACAAGCATCAGAGTAGATTCTGCTCCACAAGGGACCCCAGAGTCCAGGAAGGGGGAAGGTCAAAATAAGACAGGAAGAAGTACATAAACTGGCTGGGCCAGGCGCCACCTGGGCAGGCTAGGGGAGCCCACCCGGCAGATGGGGGGCAGCCCATCTGGGTGGGGCAGTGCTTGCCCTGCGGCCCTTCCAAGGCTGGACAGTGCTCCTTCTCCAGGGAGCCCTGGGCAACAGAGGGCCCCCCATGACCCGGCAGTGAGGTCACAGAGCCCTAGCGTGGCACTATGGGCCAGGGGGTCCAAGCCAGCCATGAATTTTGACCAGAAGGCTGTGAAATTCCTGGCAAACTTTTACATCAATGGAGGCAAACACTGGACCCATGGCTCACAGGGGCAGAAGGAGCCTTCGTCCAGCCAGTAACTCCCAGGGGCAGGCGGGGGGGAGGGGGGCGGTGCTGTGGACAGAGGACTGGGGCTGGTTCAGCAGGCGGCAGGGCTGGATGGGGGCTGCTAATCCCCCTGCAGGCTCAAGGCTGCTGCGCTCTTGGTGGGCCAGGAGCCACGGAAGGCCTGGGATGAGGCATGGTCCCCAGGGACCCAGGAGCTCTTGGCAGACCTCATGGCACGACTGGGCAACCCCCAGGAGCCTCCACCTGCCTGCACCCACACTCTGAGGGAGTTGTGTGAGTGATGGTCTGAGGTGCCCCATCTGGTCCTGGGGAGGGGGAGAGGAGCCTACTGGGAGGACCCCCCCACAGAGCCTGCTTTCTGTGGCCAGGGCTGGAGCGGCGCCCCCCCATCCTGACAGACCTGGATGTTCCTGGCCCCACCAAGTACCAGCTGCCAGATGCGTCTATACGCGAGTCCTCCCCCCACCCCCACTACAGCATGGGCCACAAACTCCCTGCCCGTGGTACGTGTCCCTGGGACCCCATCCCTATCCCACCCCGCTTCCTGGTCACCTCACCTGGGAGTGGCACTCAGCCCCATATACTGCCTCTGTTCCTTCTGCCCACCAGTCTGCCCCAGTCCCCTGTCCCCTGAGCATGCTGTCTCCCCCTGCAGAGGGCGGCAGCTGCAGGGCCTGGCAGGCCACACGGCAACAGAGTGCAAATCCCTATGTGAAGAAAGCCGACTTCAACCAAGAGCAGAAGGTAGGTCACCAGCTGGGCTTGGGTCCCATGGGTGGTGGGCGGGGAAGGGGCTCTGAAGATGAACAGGTGGAGAGGGGTCCAGGGACGACGTCCAGGAAAGGGTCTAGGGAAGGAGGTTCCAGAGAAGGGGTCCTGGGCAAGGGGTCTTGGGAAAGGTGGGTGACAAGAAGGTTTTGGGGAAGGCCCTGGGAAGGACGGGTGGGGCAGGGCTCTTGGCCCAAGAAGGAGTCCTTCTGCAGTGGCTGTCACCTACCAACCACCAGCCCTCCTCGGGGCCTGCCTTCCGCTTCTGAAGCTGCTGCCCACCCTCTAAGACCCCTGAGGGTCACTTTCACACAGCCAGGGCCGGGGGGCCAAGCCCCTGGGCCTAGGGCCCCATCCGGGCTTCTCCTCAGTCCCCAGGTGAGAAGCGGCCCAGCCCCAACACCTACGACACGCTGCCTGGGTATGTGCTGCAGAGCCCAAGGTCACCTGCCTTCTCCGTGAGCCGTTCGCCCGCTTTCACCTCCTGGTTCCACGTCTGTAAGGAAGGCCTGGAGCCAGGGCTGGAGTGAGAGCTAGGGATGGGGAGGCCGGGGATAGGGCCGGGGGCCTGGGGGCGGGGTGAGGATCTGCAGGAGGAGCTGGACGCACTGAGGCAGGGCGGGGGGCAAGGGTGGAGTCAGGCATGGAGGGCCAGAGGCAGGGCGGGTCTCCCAGCCTCCTCTCTCTGCAGCAAAGACCCCTGGCCCAGCTACCTACTATGTGGAGGACTGCCACAACTCACGATTTCCCTCAACGCCTGGCGTGATCATCCAGGGGGTGCGGAGACCCAAGCGCCATGACACAGGCCCCTTCAGCACTCTCTAGAACCACGGGCAGAGCAGGCTCAGCCTGGCCATCGCATGGCACCCTGGCCTCCCATCGGGCCTTCCTAGGCCCTCCTCTGGAGCTCAGCACCCTACCTGGCCTTCCAACCCTTTAGGCATCTGGACACGCTCTAATGGCCATCCAGCCAAGCCTTCCAAGGCCGTGGAGGAGAACCCAGCCCACAGCAGTGCCCGCCCGCCCTGTGCTATATAGACACGCTTTCAGTTTTCCTGGCTTCTGTCACATGCCTGCTCTCCGCCCCTCCCATGCACAACTCCATCGTCAAGCTGCTGTCCCCAGCCAGGTCTCACCCCTCAGCTGTCCCATGGCGTGGCAGCCAAGGACTGTCCTCAGCACAGGACGGGAGGCATGGAGGCCCTCCTGGGCTGTGTGGGACCTCCCCTAGGCTGCCATGCCACCCAGGGACCAGTCTGGCCTCCAGGGCCCAGGCTGCTTACTGAGCAAAGGACCCAGGGGCCAGGCTGCTTACTGAGCAAGGACCCAGATGCTGGGGTTGAGGTGGTGGCCAGCCACCCAGCCAACGTGGAGGGCCCAGAGGCCCAGTTCATCTGCATGGGCCCTGCTACTCCAGGCCCAGAGACCCAACCTGGTACCGCCTCCTGCTTCCTGAGAACTTGGCCAGTGCCTCCCAGGCCAAGCTGAGGACAATTGACCCAGGGCGGCTGGGCTGCTGGGCAAGAGGCTGTGTTTGCACCTTGCAAAGGCCTGTCTCTCAGCTCTACGCCCACAGTCAAGCCTGGTCCACATGAGAGCCTTGGCCTGCCCTTCCCAGGGTCAGCTCCTGTGGCCACCAACCTAACCACCCCACCCCACTGCAGCTTCCGTGGCTGCCAGCCCTTTCAGGTGTCCTCCCTGGGCCTGCCCCAGGGCCACGGGTCTGTTTTAGTGCCTGAAACAGCTGCCCCTGTGGTGTTAGGCGCACCTCCCCTTTTATAGAGTGGAGACAGTGGCCCAGAGAGCCTGAGAGCCAGGCACCTGGGTCCATCTCTGTTTTGGTGGGACCAGTTTGCCCTGCACCCCAGGAAGCAGAGCCATTGGCTGCGTCACCGGGTGGGGGACAGGAGCCCTGCTCACAGATATACGCGAGGTAGAATGGGACGGGCAGCAGGGATGACGCAGTCCCTCTAGCTGGGCTGAGGAAGGAGGGCTTCCCACGGGAGGTGACGGACAGAGGGGCTTTCAAGGGTGAGTAAGACTGCCAGGCAGCAGCACCTCTGGCAAAAGCCAGGAAAAGGGGAGGGCGCACATCGGGAGGTTGCTGTGTGCGGAGGCCGCACGGGGCACCGGAGGTTCAGAGCGGCGCTCGGGCCAGGAACCTGCCTTTGCAGCTCGCCGGAGCCCGCCGCGCTCAGGTGGGCGGGAGTCAGGCGCTCACAGCGAGGCCCAGGGCAGCCCGGCCCCCGCCGCTCCTCCTGTGGCTAGGCGCGTCCCCGTCGTAAAGAGAGACGTGCGGCCGAAGGCGAGAGCCCGGGAGCGCTCCACTTCTGCCAGGCCAATGGCAGCTGTGAACATTAGCGATAGGTTTCGTTGCGATTATGGCAACGCAACATGCTCGGCTAGAAAAAGTGCACTCTGAAACACAAAGCACGACCCGGCAGCCACTCGCCCGGGAACCTTCTGCCCCACCCGGGTTCTTGCGGCGGGGGCTTTTGGGTCTCCGCTGCGACAGGCGGCGAGCGTCGCGGGGCGGGGTGACCTGGAAGCGAGAGCACTCGCCGGCTGCAGAACTCCGCAAGCGCAGCCGCGAGCGCGACAGCGCCGTGGGGGCGTGGCCTACCTGGGGGGCGGGACTCGAAGGGGTGGGGAGGGGCCGCGTGGACCGCGCCGTGCGTTATCCTGGTGCCCGCCTCTCTGCCGCCGTCGCGCTGCGTCGCGCGGAGTGAGGGCGCTGCTCCCAGGCGCCTCTGCGCGGCGGCGGCGGCCGCGGCGTTTTCTGGGCCTGGCCGGCGGGAGGGCCGAGCCTCTGCGGGGCGGAAATCGGTGGCAGCGGGACCCATTGCGGAGCCGCAGGGCGGCAGGAGCTGGCCGAGCTGGA